TTTTTTTTTGATTATATTATCGATATATTATAAATATATATATTATATTATAATTTATTTTATATTATAATATAATTTTTAATCAAATCTTTCATGTAATTTAAAAATTCTCCACATCAATAAAATAAAGAATTTTTCAACCGTAAAGAAATGTTATAAAAATATTATTCTTATTTTAGAAATGAACGAAACTAGAATCTTTTATTCCGATTTCTACTTATATTTATATTGCAAATCATAAAGAATTCGAGAGATTAATCCAAGATTATTCAGATATATACAATATATATTGTATTCAATATAACTTCTAAATCTTAATCAAAAAATAATATACATATATCACAATATATTCATATATTTTTACATTTTTAATTTTTGCAGTAAGATATTTCTGCATTATAAGATAAAGAAATTAATAACAAAAATAGATGAACTAATAGATAACGAAAATAAACATTTCGCAGTATTTACATACGTATGCACAAGTCCAATATATTTGTAGATAATGTGAAAAAAAGAAATATGTACAACATATGTACAACATTTTCAAATATCACATTTAGAAAGGAAACATATTAAATGATATTAAATGTTATCGACAAATATTTAATAGCAAACCTATTAAATATTTCAAGAATACTTATAATATCAAGTTAAAATTCGATGTATTTTAATAAACGATTTGATAAATGAATACTGTATTATTTCGAAATAATTTCATGGCCAAATTTGCTAATTGTTTATTGAAATATTTTTTTATCGAAAAAAAAATTATATCGAATTATATCACGAATAATGAATAAATAAATATAATATTCAACACTTTCTTCAAGATACGTTGCTTGTTCATATTCAATAATCAATGCTGTCGCAGCTCAACTAGGCTACGCATTTTGTGATTGACCAGTGTTTTTTGTTAATAAATCGTTAACAAAACCATAATAAAAATTTTCTTCTTGCAAAAAAAAATGTTGTTTGAAATTATTTAAGGAATTTTCAATTTACAGATGTAAATATTCAAATATTTTTGGGACACCCTATATATACACAGTTAATTTCAAAATAAAAATATTTACTATATTTTTTTTAGAAATGAAGAAAAAAAAATATTATCTGATAATCTAATATTTAATATTTAGATTATTAGGTTAGGTTTTTCCATGATGCACAGTTGAACGATATCGCGATTGTGGAAGTGTGAATGGATGAATCATATTATAAAATTCTCATATTATTGTATATATTATATATATTTAAATAAATGTATATATATTTATTAAACAATATAGTATTTAAAATTAAAAGATTCAGCAATATATTTAACACAATAGTCACATTATTGTGTGAGGGTTAATAAAATCATATGAGTTAATCATAGAATGGGGAGTAATGATAATAGTATGAATACAAACTTATACAAACAAAGAAAAATTTAATTTTATAAAATATATTATAATGCTTAAAATTGATATTATTATAATGATCCATGTCACTAAGGCAATTCATATCTTTTTGTAATTGAAAAGAAATATTAGAAGAAAAAATTATGAATAATGAAGAATTAAAAAATTTTAAACTTTCAGAATCATATTTTTATTTTGAAACAACATCTATATATAAAAAAAAATATCTTTTTTTCCAAAGATTGTGTACTTATTTGAAATAAATGTCTTAAAGAAACAAATATTTTGTATCGATATTTAAACACATTACTATTTTAAATTTAATCTCGTACATTATTGTTTTCATAACAAAGGCAGATATATATTCACAAACATTTCATCACTGACTAATAACTTATCATACAAGAGTGTAAAACGTATAACAATTGTGAAAGCTTTAAAATATATTTCTGCATAAAATATATTTCTTGAAATCATGCTATTTATTGTTGTATAGTTTTCGAATATGAATATATAATAAGTTTTATTCAAAATAAAAAATTATTAATAGATAAATATTAATTATCAAATAATATATATAAATAATCAATTAAATTTAAATTTTTAATTTTATCAAATCATGATTCTATCGATTTTATTCAATGATTGTCATATAAATTCAATAAGTTTATTATAATGAGAAATATTATAATATACATTTTAATTTTATTATATTATAAATTTCGAAAGATTTTGATTATCAAGGCTTTTTTACATTTATAATATAATGAAAGTAGTGATTGAATGATTTTCCATTATTTTTTTATTTTATTTTATTTTAATATAATATAATAAATAATATATGCATTATTATAATCACATTTTAATATTTTCGAAAATTAGTTAATTAAATTGATGAATTTTATTAACGGACTAAGTTTATGTAAAATTAAAAGGATAGTAATATTTGCAAAGTTATATAAATATTAAATATCACTATAGATTCTGATTAATTAACTATACAATTAAAATTTTATAAATATATACATATGTATATCTTTTCTATATATAAATACACGAAGTATATAAGAAATACTATAATTTTATATAAATGTTATTTTATTAATTATAATAATAAAAAATTTTATTAATAAAATGATAATAAAAATTGTAAAAAAAAAAGAATTTTGTTATAATTATATATAATCTGTAATTAACTACTTATATAATTAAAAATTATAAATTAATATATTATAAACTAATTAACTTAATTTTCTTTATTTTGACATATAATAATAATAATAATAATAATAATAATAATAATAATAATAATAACAACATAGATAATATTTATTATTGGTTAATATAATCTCATTATAAAGTTGACAAATTTTTTATTCGTCAAGAAAGATTGTACGAACTTTTCTATCAGCCAGTTCTTTTACTAGTTGATCATCATTCTATGTAACAAATGACATTATTATAGTCATTTATATATTGACGAAAATTAAAATTATTTATGCATATTCTATTTGAATATTAATATTTAGAATTAGAATTACATGTACTAGAAATAAAAACTATATGCAATTCAAAAATCGTAAGTTTATCACAATATAAATATATAGGTAATATGATAGAACCATAGAATCAAATATAATATAATATAGAATTATATAACATAATATAGAAATTATATAATTTAATATAATATAGAAATTAATTAATGATAAAAACAAATAAACGACAAAATAAGCATTAAACTATTATAATGAAATTTTAA